GGTTTATGATTTGTGTTTTTATTGAATATTGAATTTATGTTGTTTTGTTTTAATAAACTTTATAATACATAAAATTTGAGCATTAATACCTGCAATGTGAAAATAGTATTGGTCAAATTTACAATTAATGTAGTAAAACTTGGTGTTTGGCAAAACTTTATTGTTTCTCAACACATTCTTGTGCCTAAAACCCAGATTTACATTCGTTTGAGGAATGATAAGCCTTTCATTCTTTTTTCTTTCCTCTGAATGGTAGCAACATCTCTAATAAAATGGATGAGCTAAAAAAATCTGAATATCCACTCAGCTCAAACACTCCAGTGAGAGCAGTCTGCACAAAAACTTCAAGAAGTCAAAATTACCAAAATGCATAAATCATGAGGCACTTATGTGAAAGAAAAATCCCCTTCCTTGAATTTTGCTCCTGCAAAATGTCAAACTTCATATTGTGAGGGCAAAAAAAAAAAAAGACATTTCTGAAGAAAACATGAGCACAGCCAAAACCACAAGGAAAAATACTCTTTAAAAGCWTATGTGCTAGGACTCGACGTCAAAGACTGTAAACCAAGCTTCATGAGGAGATGTTTTGTGGTGCAAGCTTTCGAAAAAGCAAAATGTTGAAACATTTTCATCCAGAAAACATAAAAAAATCTGTCCTGAGAATCCTCTTCCATATTTCCTTCTTTGAAAACGAACCAACAACTAGGTAAGTAAAGCAGCACAACATGCCAGGGAAAACAGAGGGCTTAAATGGTCTCATCTGGAGAAAAACAAGAGGCAAAAACACGGAGGTGGAAGCTATTTAAAGCTAGTTTCTGCACAGTCTGAATCACAACATGTACGCCATGATAACAGCAGCCAGCCAACACTGTCTCAGGAATACAGGCAGGAAAAATGCAATAAAAAAAATAAAAACAAAAAAATCCCAAAGATGCTTCATCAAAATCTGAAAAAAAAAAAAAAAAAAAAAAAAAATCTCTAGTTAAAAATACTCACCAGGAGCTTAACACTAAAAATGACAACAACGTTTTACTTGAGAGGTCGTTTTCTCCGTTAAGCCTGAATGTAGCACCTTGAAAAATACAGACACGAAATGGCGTCTGCACACACACACCAGGGTTACTCACGCCCACATGCCGTAATCCTGCTTTCTGATTGGATGATTTACCAGCAATACCGGAATGAGCCTTTCTCTTATTGGCTGGTGGGACTGACAGTCCTACCCATGAATGACAATATCCGCTAACCGCTTTGAATGTCAAAACATCAGCGCTGCACAACGTGAAACTGATCTGTGCTCGCAGTCTGTAAAACTGTATGGCAGGCCTGTGTATCACATATTAGTCGAAAACCTGAACCTTAAAAAATTTAAAAATAAAGCACATTTCAGTTCTTTCTCAGGTAAAATTTATATTTCATCCACATCCAGAATAATGTATTATATAT